CGGGAGAGGGGTCAGCCGGACATAAGGCGCCCCTAGGGAGGCATTCGGAGCCTGGAAGATGGTCGGGCGCAGGGAGGCGGGTGGCTCGACGCAGGAGCACCCCCTACTGGCCCGCCTCACGTGGTGGAAACAGCGGAGGGATACGAATACCCAGCTGTGTTCCTGAGGTGGGATCTCTGCACCCGCCACAGTGCCCACTGAGAAGCAACAATGACTGGCACCACCTAAGAATCTAGCCAGGAGCATTTTACTGACTTTTTTTCTTTTTTCCTACTGGGCATGAAATCCCACTAGGTGATCTGAGACAGTTTCATCCTCACCCTCAACAACATTTATTTTTCAGAACACTAAAAACAGCTAGCAAGGATTCGTGGTGCTGTCTTAGGTGCTGGAGAAGCTATTTGCTCAGTAGTCCTGGAAAAGGGATGAAAGTGCCATTGGAAGGAGTGTGAGCATTAATTTAGATTGACAGCGAAGTAAATGTTGCAATTGCAAAGTATATGGATCAACTCATGCTGAAATGAGCGGTGCATCGATTTTTAAGGGTCCCCATCTTTTACGTATGAAAGGAGTTCTCTTAGTCCCACGACAAAAACAGTGAGAAGTGCATATTAATGAAAAGATCTAGCAAAATTCAAAGACTAAGTTCAGAGCGTTTGAGGAAATATAAGGTTGAGATCTATTAGCATTACTTAAAATGTCGTGGCAACAACCTCTTTGCAGCTCTTTTATTGGTTAGCAACACTGCTATATGCAATTAGTAGAGGTAGCGGATTATAAAATATGTCAGATCATGCTACTCTCTCTTCTCTGAGCTCTTACAGGTAATGGACTGCAACATGTGAATGTCTCACCCCATCAACACTCTCTTGTATTTGGGTATTGAGGGAACAAGAACCCCACATGGTATTTGCTCCAACAGAGGCAAAAAAACCCCACAACATTTTCACATGCAGAAAAAAGCAAAAACAGAGGCTACTGTCTGAAATGAGCTCATTGAAGGGACAGAGAGCATGAACACAAGTATCCGCATCTGGTCTAAACTGGCACGGCTCTAGTGAGATTGGTGGAGTCAGCAGAGTCACAGCAGTTCACACCAGCTGAGGATATGCCCTTAGGTGCTGGTAACACTTGATCTGATGTTAATTACTGCCAGCATAATTAACAATAATGAGTTTCCTTGTTGCCACTAATCTTTGCATGATGTAAAAGCTGCTTTCTTCATATTTTCAACTGCCTTCACTTCATCCAGGCAATACTTGAAGGAGCTTTTTAACTTAGGGATTCACATTTTAAGCATCCAGAATTAACGAGAATTCAATTCGATATGTTAGCTGCTACATGCATTATGTACTGCATTGGAAATGAGCAAAATTCAGTACATCTGTTTTCTTAATGACAGATGATAATGCTTTCCTATGTATTTAGAATATGCAATATATCTTATGATTCTTCCACTAGGGCCCTTAGAAATGACATATTTCCTCAAAGAGAAAACATTATGTCAGATCTAATGTAGTTGTAAGTGTAATGGCACATTTTAAGGCATGCTGAGAGCTAGAAAGCCAATGTCTACCTTATGGAGATATATCTATTAGCTTAGGCAGAATGCTAATAAATCTCCACTCTTAGGGCGCTAACTGGAAAGGCCTGGCTCCTTACCTTTGATATGGGGAATGAAGTGGTGTCGGAAGGGGGAGTAAGGGCGGGAGTCATTGTGGGTAGAGCTGAGACTGCTAGTGCGCAGGTATGACAACCGTTGCACACCAGTAGACAGCAGTTCTGCAGTAGCAAAGGATCGTGGGGCAGGACAAAATGAGAAAGAAAAACAATAAGAGAGAGGCAGGGAAAGAGGCTTCAAAGGAAAAAACAAAAAGCACTGATCAGTTAGGATTCTGAAAAGCAGGAAGAAAAAAAGGTTAAAATACCAAAAGGGATCAGAAATGTTAGGCAGAGTTATAAGAAGAATTTGAACCAGGCTCAGAGTTGTATTGCTTTTCCCATTTAACATTCTTTGGCTGAAGGAGCTACCGATCTGAACTTGCTTACTGGAAAATAATCTGCCACCATCATGCAAACATTGCAAACTCTGCATCCAAATGCATTCAGAAAGCAGTTTTGAGAAAGCATCTGATCAAACAGTGTCAGTCAAGAGGCATGCAAGATGTTTTCTGTCCTTTTAAGAAATTCCAAAGTTGATGCCAACATCAATTGGGGCACCAGTGGAGGGGAGAGGGGAAAGGCTGAAAACTTTTTCAGAACATGAAAGTCTTTTGAAAGTTAAGAAACATTATGCTGACAGTGTCAATGAGCAGAGGCTACTGCAGAGTGGCTCAAATCTTACACAAGGGCTACTCTAGAGCCAGGCAAAGAAAGAAGTTATGTGAAGCCACTCACTCAAACAGAAGGCATTTGGACTCCTGCAAACAATATAATGATGACAAGGGTCATCTGCAAAAAAGTGCATGTACTGCTATAGCTGACCAATGCAGAATAACACCAGGTGAAAACCACAGACCATTATTAATAAACGTCCCAAAACATATGGGAAAGATAAAAATGAAGGATGCTAAAGGAAAACTGTATTATGTATGAAACAGCTACAGGGGGGCAATATACATTTCTTGGGAACTTTGCTAAAGGTGCAATATTTAAATAGAGATGAGCGCAATATTTAAACAGAAATTCCCCAGAGGGGGGAATATTTAAATAGAAATTCCCAGAGGATCCCAAGGGCCACAAACTTTGGTAGATTTCAAATCTAGATCCAAACTTTGTGGCCTGGGCCCACCTGTACATCAAAAGAAAGTTAAGGAATGTAAAAATGGAGTGAGATTACTCCACAGGAAGGTACATGAAACAAAAGGTATTTTGGAACTGAAACAGGGAAACCCACAATCACAATAAAGTTTGGAATAAACCTTGGATTCTTCCAAGTCTGTGGTAAAACACATCAAGATGTGAAAACTGTAAGGAGTCTGTTCCAATAGGAACACAGAAGTTTGCAGCTTTTTCAGACTTCATCAGCCTCCTTTGATTCTAGCTACAATCAGCATCATCAAACAACATCATCATGTTATCAGCATGATGTACCTTACAAGATCTGAGTCAAAGTTCTGTGCATTAAATTGGGCCCTCGAAATGAAGCATTTGCTGCTTGATATAACTAGACATTTTCAGCCCACTACTAATAGCAAACTATCACTCTGCACTGATCCTTCTTCAGTGACCCCTGATTTAAAAAATGCAGTTACTACTGAATACGATCTGGTGTGCCAACCATTGTTATTGCTCAGTAGTGCTGAGCAGGGTATCATTGCATGACTCCACTGTTTAATCTAGTGTGAAAATTTAGCATACCTATAACAGTATGTTATGTACATACCTTTTAGAACCACATTTAAAAATTCATTATGTATGTGTTTGTAATAGAACAATTTTATACATGTATTTCATTGGAAACCTCCAGCAGTACATGCATTTGCCTATTTTGTACATACAACTGTGTTATTTCTAAAACACTTCTGAAAACGTCACCTTTAACAATTCATAACTTCCTAGGTTTTTAATTAGGAAATTCTCCTTAGTGAATACTTAAGATTTAAAAAATGACTAGTGATTTTATGTGCTCCACTTGCGATGCCTTAAAGGAGTCTTATTTTTTTTAAGAGCGGACGTTTCATTCTGAAAACCAGGCCCATTTAACAAGCCTACCTACAGTCAGGATAATTAGTGACTTTTAAAAATGTCAGCAATTATTTTTGTTTCCAATATGTGTTATTTTCCCTCAAACAAAAAAGAACCACCCTGAATAGCTGGATTCACTGAAGCAAATAGCAGATTATTTTCAAATACATACACATATGTCCAAATCTACATATTAAAAGGAAAAAAAATTAGTAATATATGACACATCCATAAAATATACTAGTTGATCTTACATATGTTGATGACTAAGAACAATAAACAGGAATGGAGGTTTTAAAATTTGCAGCTACTTTTCAATGCTATAGGTAGAGAAACAGCTTCTTATTTCCACAGGCAAGTGATGTAATAAGAAAACAAACTGCTTCTAGGTATAAAGCAATTTCCCTTACCAGGTCTGTGAAAATGCTGAGGGGAGCGTGACATTGTGGGTGTGTAGCTGTGACGACTGTATACAGGAGAACTGATAGAGCCTTGGCTAGTTGACCTGTGAATCATTCGATCCCGAACATCCTGATAACCCTGAAAAGAAAGAAGCATTAGATGACTTAATTACAAAAAATTAAATGAACTCCAGACATTTTTCCAACTGCATATGGCTTTCAAAGGCCTGCAACAGAACATCTTTCCAGGTTCTAGCCTATTATCATACAGTGTTAATTGCTTGTCCATTAGTTTTCACATATGAACAACTGCTGCTCATATAAGCCAATCCATTGTGTCTAAGTGTTAAAATCTGGGGCCTTCAAATTCTATGCATCCTGCAGACTGAATTCTGTTAAGTAACACTTAATCATACTTAAAACTTAATCCTAATTTTTCAAGTCACTAATAATTTGTGTACCTGAATTACCCGGGACTCCTTAAGAGGACTTGTTTTTCAGAGGGCATGCCTACACTGGAGACAGTGGTACACGATGGCTGCAGCCACCTATCCCACAGCAGGGCAGAGGGGAAAGGGGTGCTCATGCATCACCAGCACTACCCACACAATGGCTATGCCTTTCGAGAGGGCGAATCCTGGTCCACATGTGGTCCACATGCTGGCCATGCCTTTCAGGAGGGCGAATCCTGGGCGCCCCCCTGCAGTATATGTTTGATAAAGGGTGCAACTGGAGCACTGCACACCAGCACCAAGTGCAGCCCCCCTGCTGTGGGGAAGCTGGATAGTCCCAGTGTAGAGAGATGCCTATACCTTTACTGACACCTCCACTACCCAGTTTAAAGCTAGCCTGGGTAACTATTCACTATACTGCAGTCTGATGTGTTCATGTGCCCAGAAAATACTAAGGCTCCCACCTCGAAAATTCAGACAGCTTTGCTGTGTCTCAGACTGGCACCCCAAAACCAAGGCACCCCAAATCACTAATTACTTTTGAAAATTTGAAATCCTGGAATCTTGGTTCCTGGCAAAAGTGAAGCAGAGCGGGGCAAACCTTTCCTACAGGAGAGGGGCAACTGGGAAGCTCCAAGACCAAAAGCATGTTCATAAATTTACTGTGTACTTCATAGCATGGGGAAGGCAGGACACCTTTCACTTTAAAAAAACTGGACTAGCTAGTCACCATATCTATGTACAGCAATAACCATTAAAACTCTGACAAATGCCTTTCCAAGTATGTCACATTGCTATGATGTTTAAGAGTATTGCCCTAGCCTAGGGGAATACTGCAGAAATGTTCCCTTCAAGCACAGGCAAAACTCACACAGATCCCAACAGTAACCACTGCAGGCTGAGGGCCAGACCTTTGGCTGCTGTAAATAAGCACAGTTCCTGGGGCTCCAGCCTTGATCTACATATCACAATAAAGATGAGTTTGCAGACATCACATCCCATGGTACCGTCACTCTCCATACAACCTTCCAGTCAGCATGAAATACCCTCTGTTCCTTTGATTTTCTTGGCCTTTTAATAATCATGCTATGTAAACAGAAAATGGAAATAGGCATCAAGCTGCCTAGGACCATCAGTAACGCCACTTCCAGGTATCAACCGTTCCAGCAGCGGTGACACACTGCCCCAGGAGGGTTCAATCAAACTTACTTCTGCAGACGGTGTAGGAGACAGTGTCCTTGGAGACTATAGGAGGCAAAAGAGAGAAGGTTACAGAAACAGCATGTCTCCTGCCTTGCCAGCAAATGCTAATCCAAACAGCCCCAGAGATCTGGCAGTGATGTGGTATCTAGCTCTAAAGCTGTGGTTTCTCCTCACTGCCCAGAGCTTGGTTTCTGAAGTAGTGAAGCAGTTTAGGTTCACATTACCCAAAAGCAAGTATGATTAATTCACTCAAATATCCTGAAACAGCATCTTTGAAACATCTAACTAGGGCAGTAATTGAAATGTAGCTGCAAAGACGACGAGGAAAAAAGGGCTATTAATTTAATAACTGTGCTTATGTGGAAAGCTTCACAATGGCAATTAAATGCATTTTAACTCAGGGCTCTGAGTGGGAAACAGAAATGCAGGACAATCTCCTAAACAGCTGCACACTGGCAATTGCCCTCCTATCTCCAAAGCCTTACATTTCCTCTGTGCGTGTGTGCGGGCGCGCGCGCGGATGTGTGTAAAATGAAGAGACAGTTAATATTTAATCATATTTATTTTACAGTGATTCATGCATGCATCATATTTCTTAGCACCTTGCTTTGGAAGAGCTGCTAACACCACCCAGCAAGGTGGAGGCAATGGTATCATTTTCATTAAACTGATAAAGAAAGTTTTTCTAAAGTATTGCCCGAAGTCATCTATAGAGTTGGGAACCCAGCTGGGAATAGGAGTCTTACCTAATTTCCAGCCACAAGTTTTTGAGTACAAGAAATTCTCTTCCTCCAAATATCAGAATTTTAAATATTTCTCATATGTAGTGAACACTAGCATTATTCATTTGATTGCCATACTAAATCTGGTGATGGCTAGTGCTCCTAAGGAATACTATAGTTATTGCAAAACAATTCTACTTCTAAAACACAGTGCGTCAGAAATAAAACAGCTGTTCTGGCCTAACTACTGCTAATATGGTGACAGCAGTATAAAATGTACACAGAACTTCTGATGGCAAATGGATCTATCAATTCCTTGTGCATATGCCAAACATGCACATCATCTGTACAGCAGGCTGCGCCGTCCTCCATGTCCTACACACTCTGCAGTGCAAGACTATTACCTCCAGAGGAACTGGCATTGCTGCAAATGCAAAGTATGTGAAGATAGGACCAATTTTTTGGCTTGAGTGCAAGAGATTTCACCATGTACAATTTATCACATGGCTTTGTTAGACCACTTTTAACCACAGAGGAGCCCTTCTAAGTTTACAAAAATCCTGCAACACCAAATCACCATGTCAGCACATATTTTAGAGCATGACCTATACAAGTTTTACTACTTGTATATATATACTTGTATATAATCACAAAACATTTTGCAGATTAGCCTCCAAAACAACTGTTTAACTCTAAGCTAAAATTCTTCAACTATCTGTATAAACAAAGTCCTATCCTTGTTTTTGTTTCTGTTTTTTGTTTTTTTGAAGACTGAATTTGGTCCTTGACCTTGCAGATAAACAGTATCTTCTGATCTGATCTGGAAAGTGGGAGTCAGTTTCTACTGGAAAATATACTTAAATGACTGGAGGCTGGGAAGATAACATAAGAAGCGACATCCCTTGCATCTATTCTACATGTGCCAGTGCTGGGTAAATGGTCCCACCATGTTTTCTACGGCTTTGAAGAGAGGGAACCGCACCCATTTCTTCATTCACTGGTGAACTGCCATATCTGAAACTCTGAGTCTGTCAAGGAAAATTTAGCTCATCATTGTTTGGATGGGACATTGAAAGGGCTCTTTAAAAAAATCAACACAGAAGACTTCCAATTACTCAGCAACATATTTAGGGATGTTTAGGAGGTATATTCAGAAGGAAAAAAATGAAGTCCAGCAGGAGCAAACCAGTGAACACAGAAAGCAGTGATTTCAAAACTAAAATCCTGCTTAAAAAAAAACAAACACACGCACACAATGGGAATTAAATTCCCTTCCCATTCAACTCAGTGATCAAACTCTCATTCATTTTAGTAGGTTTAAGAGTTCATCCTCAAATCCTTGAAACTAAAGGTTTAACGTTACAGTCCTTGAGTGCTTTGCCGGATCAGGGCACATTACCTTATGTCACACTGGCATGTGCCATTTTACTGGCAGCATAATTATTGTTTCAGGATTTCTGGGCTTGATCCTGTGGCAGGACTCCCAAAAGAGCTTTATTTTCTTCAGAACTGCAGGAATGATCTCCCCCCGTTCAGAGCAAAAGCCAGGTTAAAGAAACTGCAATTGCAGTGGCAGCAGTAAACAGTTGAAATACAAGGAATTCGGAGGAAATGAAACCTTCCACAGTATTTATGCTCCAAAAGACAAGACATCCAACTCCACTGGGGATCAGAATACGACGATGGGGCAGAATCTAAGGATGGGCAGATTTCAAATACATTCAACATCTGGAATAACTGCCAACCTTTCAAAAGTCAGCCCAGCTTGCCTAACATTTCTCCCAACTGTAAAGCTGGACAAATAAAAGGTATCGCTTAACAAATCTTTCTTCTAGAAAGTTAACTGACAGCCTCTGGGCAACATGCTGTTTTATTATCACTTCACATTACAGAACTTACTCCTCACTCGACTCCTGCTTTGTTAAAAACTGCCTCACTCCGTCGTATCCTTAGGCTAACCGAACTGTGCTAGTCGTGTTAACTGAAGTGCTAGGTTGTTGGGCTCCACTAGATGGTGCCACTTAAAAACGTTTTTCATTGTACACTTTTAAACCAGCAATTTAGAGATTTATCAAGGAACAAACTGAGCAGATTACAGGGAGAAGCTATTATAGCCATTTGTGAAATGCTTAAAAGGAAGAAAGTCTAATGCTGCCCTATCCATCTTTCTCTAGAGCTAATGTGTATGTTCTCTTCTTAATTCACCCTGCAAGTTGGGGACTTTTTCACTGCAGAGGTATTTTGATATTGCTTTGGAAGTGTTTCTATAAAACAGTCTTCCAAGGGTTCAGACTTTCTGTCTATTAAACACACCCTATGGGCACCTATATAGAAGCAGCGAGGCTGCTCCAATGTGCTGCAATTACCTGAGTCCGCTGGAGTGTTGTAATTACCGTGCTCCAGCAGAATCCAGTGTCATGTGTATCAGCATCCCCGTGCAGAAAAATAATGGTGGGGCACTTTAACTAAAGCTTGTTTGATGAGTTTTAGTTAAAGCACCCCTGCCACCATTTTTCAGCATGGGGATGCTAATAATACATGAGACGCTCCGGGCACTTTAATTAGAACTGCTCTTGGAGTTGCTTTAATTAAAGCACCTCCCCCCACTCCCGGAACGGGCCTGGCAGTTATATCAGGACGCAAGGGAGTGTGGCTCAGGAAATACAATCACTCCCAAGTCCTCAAGAAACTCAGAAGGCATGTGCAGTTTGAAAGACCCATTTAGAGGTGCAGGCTCCCCCCAACCTCAGCCAGGTACACCTCAACCTGCAGTATGAGGCAAACCATTGGCAGAGGGTGGCAAGTAATGAAGAAGCTCCCTGCTCTGTGTTGTACAAGGTGTTTTTTAACTAGAAACTCCTGAGCTTTGTCTTCTTCAGAAGGATGTGGGACTTCTCTATCTGAGTTGTTGATGGATGAGGTTTGGAAGTTCCTGTCCAGATCTCTTGTGATGCTCAGAAACAACTGAGCAAAAAAGCAAACCCAGTGTATCTAATGGCTGGCTTAGTTCTCCCTGTGTCCCTACTTCCACCTGGAACCACAGAGAAAGCAAAGGACAAAGGAACTGCACAGGGGAAGGCTGAAGTAGCCTGTCACCAATTCTACTCTTGTACAACTTTTCTGTCTGAGCTGGACGGGATTATCAAAGGCTCTCAACATTCAGGGCCATCTGTACCCAGCCAGCTTTGCACTGATACAGGTGTGTGTCAAGGGGTCAGTGGGGTTGAAGGTGGGGGAAGTGATTTATATCCTGAGAGCCAAGGATGCTTGAACCCCTCTTGATTTTCCGCTCTGATTCTTTGGAAATCTAACTCTTGCTTTACTTTAGTGCCTAATGGGGACCGAGCTCTTGAGAATCTGGCTCTAGTGAATGTTTCATCCAAGGCTCACGGACATCAGTTCAAAACTCTTTTTCATTCCAGTGGTGCAGGATCAGGGCTACACAAAGGAATAGCTTGTCTGCAACACTGGTAATGGTCAAGGTGGCTATTTTGGGGATTCTTTGGCTAATGGGAACTGGATTTGATGGCCCAGGAGGCCCCTCCAGTCCTAAGCAACACATTTCTGAAAGGATGCAACGGGCTCATGACTGGTTAACAAAATGAACCTTTCCAGGGTATATCACAAGGGGAAAAGGAAAGGTTGTATGTTAAATGGAAAGTCAAACAGCAAGTACTTATAAAATATATAGCCAGGAATGCACACTGTAAGAAATGAGTAGAGTTTCATCTGAATGAACAGCTTTTGTTGAGTGTAGATTTTAGAGTAAAATACATGAATCACTCCCAAATCTTAAAGTCAATTTTGTGACATGTTTAATCATTATTCAGTGAGATAAATATTTATGAAGGTGGCTGTTATTAGTATAGTTTGCAAGTACAGTGTAGTTCAAAACCCTGACTGGTGATGAAGGTGTTCTCATTACACAGAAGATATCTCCAAATATATTTATTGTGCCCAAGGCTTATAACAGGACATGGCAAATAAGGTCTATGTACACTACTTGTCAGCATGCCAAATTTGTTTTTAAAAGCAGTATTGATGATAGAGTGGAAATCACTCCCTTCTTAGGGCCAGATTTTGTGGTCCTGAACTGAGTACAATTTTTATCTGGAGTTAATGGTAGCTACACAATATTAAAAACCAAAATCTTTGGTGTCTGAGTAAATGCCAGTAAGCTGGGCTACTTGGCATCTCTCAGGGTCAATAAATGTGTAAAAGATAAGAGTTTAAAGTATAAACTAATCAATTTCTGTCCCCCATCCCTCTTCACATAACATTTACTGATGACTAAATCAGACACAAATCCTGTGCAAGTCACTCCACTCACAGGAGCTTATTACAAAAAGATGTGAACACTACAGTCCCACATTGCTATTTTTTCTCATATACAGCACTGCCTGGCATATAATATGGGACTTGTTTTTGAAAGGGAGAATAAAGAAAAAAAGATTTTTCCAGAATTATGCATGCATAGAGCAGGGACAGAGTTTGATCGTCAGCTAACTTACCCTCCCTTTCTTGCTTAACTGAAGCTGAAACTAGAGGTACACTGATACGTTGGTCCTATATCGGATCAGAACCAATATAAGGAAAATTGACAGTATCAGCAATCGGCTTTTTGGCTGATATGACTGATAACGTTGCCAATAAATTCCTCGCGCAGCCACAACGCAGCGCGTGGGCAGCCAAGAGCACAACCCCGCAACGTGGAGAGCAGCCGGGTCCAGCTGGTAAGTCTGTTGTGAGGGAAGGGGCATGGTGGGGAGACAGATCGAGGCCCCTGCAGTGAGGGAGGGAGTGGGACTGGGGCAGGAGAAGGCACTACATAGCTGGGACAAGGCACGGGATGGAGCCGCAGCTCATCCAGGTGGTGCAGGGGGTAGAAGGGTGGCTCCCACTGCTGCATGCACCCTGGGGGGCTATGGGGGGCTTGTGTCCCCAGATCTGCATGTGGGGCAAGGGCAAGCTAGTGCTGTGGGCTGGGGCCAGGAGCAGCACCAGGCGCTTCCCAGCAGGATGGCTGAGCTGGGCTGCCTTTGGAGCAGGCGGCAGCAGCACTGGGAGGGGGGCTACAGTGAAATTTGGGGTGGCTGCAGCCCCCCCCTTCCCAGTGGAAGGCCTCTCTCAGAGGCACTGCATGTTGGCTATAGTCAAGGCTGGAGACTTTGGCTGGGTAAGCCAATACTCTTGCTGGGACCAAAGCTGCATATTCCTGACTAGAGGGTCTTGCCCCTCCACTCAGGGTCAGATTGATTGCCATATTTAGGGTCAGGAATGAATTTTACCCCATGTTCAGATTGGTACAGACTGTGTGGATTTCTGCCTTCTTTTGTAGCAAGGAGTGTGGCTCTCTACCTGGGATTTCTTCAGCATATATTGACAACCTTTTATAGAAGCAGGACATTGGAGGCCATGGTTCCTCTGCTTTACCTGTGGCAGGTTAGGGTGTTAGGTCTGTGTTGTCTCAGGGTTGATGGTAGTCCTATGTAGAGTTTTGATTATGGATTATTTAGGATGGTTTGGATAGGGATGATCCTGCCTCAGGCAAGGGGTTGAAATAGATGACCTCTGGAGATCCCTTCTTCTCTATGATCCTGTGACCAGTGCCTCCCTCTTGATCAAACCCTCACTTCCACCCAGTGTACCTAGCAAAACACCCTGGGACATTCACTTTTCCCATCAGATGAGGATGAGACCATCCCACTCCCATTTTATAGCCACCGAATGCTCTGGTATTCTTTTGGAATAGCCTATTCCACCAGGAATATCAGCTTCTGAAGGTGAAGAACTTAGTAAATGACACTGTATTGGATCTGAATTTGTTTCATGCAACCATCAAATACTGAATATAAGGTATTGAGTCGTATTGAGAAAGGACCCCTTCCCTTTGTGAGCTGCTAGTATTAGAGAAGGTAAGAAATGGAGGGGAGCCATGTACCTACATCTGTAGCTGCCCACACATTGCAACTCAAAGCCTGAGTCAATGTTACGGTTCCTTCTTTCAAACATGGGCAAGAGAAATGAAAAGCGCTTTTAATCGCAGCGACAGCCACATTGAAGAGTATCAGTTATACAGTAGTTTCAAGGCAGTCTGGAAACACAGCTGGCTTTGAATCACAGAAGGGGTCATATGTGGATTTCCTTACCTCTCCAAAACTCTGTCTGTCTTGTCTGTCCTCGTAGGCGGAGGTGTAGAATGGTTCGTAGGTAATTAGGTCTGGACGTTCAATGTCGTAAATGGCCTTGACTTTGGGAATGGCAGCTAAATCCTTGTAATCAAGGATCTCGTTGTCTACTTTTGCCTGAAGGTCAAAGACAGAAAATAAATGAAGAGACACAAATGCACCAGTAACTTCTATTTTGCACACATTATGCTCTGGGGGAACTGACTTTCATAATGCAGTTAGGGAAAATCCTTTGCTGTCATTCCATTTATGTACGTAGCAACTGTTTGTTCTTCACCAGCATATGTGAAGAACAAAGTGTTTTTTATCTTAAGAATCTAGGGGAAAAGCAGAACAGTTTAAATAGACTGCACCCTTTGCGGTGTCTTCAAAATGATCTACCATCTATCTGCATCCATGTCTAGCAACCATCACCTCATGCTCAGCAGCTGTGGCTAAGATAGCTGTAGCTCACTAGTAAAATGTGATAAACTCTTTGACAGACAGGACAGACATTCAGTTTGGTTATGCCACTATGTGTGCAAGCTTCTGTCTAATGCAAGGGTGGAAACTGGAACCTGGAAGCAGGCTCCAAAAAGAGCTGTTTGCATACCAACATGAAGATGAAGCTGCTATAGCAGGGAGAGGGATTAGAGGGGCAGCAGTTTGCTTGTTTATCTATTTCTTTTGATGTTGCTGAAATTTAAAAATCAATTGTTTCAAGTTCTTGCTTGTTCTATGCAAACAGCTTTGATTATTAAAACTGAAAGCATTTTAGGCGTCTGATTTTGTTTTTACCTCATGATTTCTTTGGCTCACTTCATGAGGCTGGTCATCTTTCTACCTACATCCAGTCCCCTAGGCTGATATTTACAATTTTCAGAGCTGGTTTCTAGGGCAGTTTTCCATGCCAAATAGATATTAAAAGCTGCACTTTAAAATCATATGATTAAATACCTGAAACAACTAAAAAAAAAAAAATTGACTACCTTTGATCAGTTTGGCTTTGTCTCCCTGGCTTTTTTTCCACTCTACTTCCCCCCTCCCCTTCCCTGCTCTACCTTCAGTTTTCCTAATTTCTACCCATCTACGTTCTCACTGACATCCTGCCACACTTTGAGCTTCTTTTGTTCCTTGGAGTCTCAGAACAACAGAGACTCCCTATGCCTGACGAAGGGTGACTGCACATGAAAGCTTGCTAAGAACTTTTTTCCAACTACTCAGTTGGTCTAATAAAAGATATCACATCTACTCAAAGAACCTTGCCTGATTATGTCCTTAGACCAGGGGCGGGCAAAATGTGGCTCATGGGCCGGATGCAGCCAGCCAAGCTATTCTATCTGGCCCTAGAGGCCCCTAAAATTTTTAGAAAATTAATATTAATCTGCCCTGGGCTGCCTGTCATGCAGCCCTTGATGGCTTGCCAAAACTCAGTAAGCAGCCCTGCACCCAAAATAATTGCTTGCCCCTGCCTTAGACCAACTTGGCTACAACCAAAAATCCAGCTTTGTCTCCCTGGCTGCCATACAATGAGCTAAGGAAATTTAACCCTTAATACTTGCTATACGCATAAACGAATATAATTTTATATACATATTAACATCATTAATCTAAATATAAATGCCCTATATAAAATGTATAATAATACACGTTCATGCATAATTACATCTGTAACAAATTTGTGTGTGTGTGCACACACACATATACATGCATACTCAGGTCTATTATATGAACAAGTGTATATACACATATTCATTTCTGAGCTGAGCGATGTCTGGACAACTTTAACTAGTACAAGTAGACACTTGTATAATGCTTGCTGCAGAGCAGGAATACATCAGATGGCCCTAAGCCTGCAGGATGAGGCTGTGCTGTGTGACAAGAGGCAAGATTCATAAACTGCCCGAGGGGTATGAAGCAGCACATTGTCAGCAGGATGGCAGTGCTCCAGAACTTCTTTCATGGTTTAAAATCAGCAGTATGTAATAGCTTTAATTTACTGACTGCTTCTTCTCCAGTTCAAAGGCATTGAAAAACTAGAGTTGACTTGTATAAGAACAGGCCTGCTGGACCCCTTGCTCAGTTTTTCCATCTTTTTACATGAGCCATCAGTCAGTTTGTATCTGATATAGTTGAAAAGTTCAAGTGTAGCATGTTCTCTATTATCCTAATCTCCCCCGATTTCCTCCCCAGTATTGCCTTGACAAACAGCCCCTTTCTTCAGCTAGGAATTTAAATAGCATAGAGCAGGAAGGCAATGCCTTTTGGACCAAAGGACTTCCTCTAGCTAGAAAAGGAAGAAGGTGAACCCTTGAGATGCCCGAGAAAGCTTAATAAAAACAGGGAAAGACTAAAGCAGATTTAAAACATCTGGGCCAATTCTAAATTGTTGAGTCCATCTCCAATTACTTTATCATAAGATCAAAAACTACAAACCTAAGAATCCAACAAGGGTTCATCAGGAATGGAATAGGAAGGTGTCCTGCTACTCTCTGATTGTGAAGCACATGCAAATGAAGTGGCACAATGAAAATGCTAGTGATGGTCCCATGTTTAGCCTGGAAAGCATAACAACTGAAACATGCTCAACCCCATTTTCCTTTCTTTTAAAACAAAATCTTCTTCAAAAACCAAAATTCCTGATCTCTTCACCTGTAGGTATTTAGGAGGCAAAGCTTTGCTTCACCAGAATCTCCGTGAGATCTATATGAGATGATAAATCCCCAGGGCAGCAGGCAGGAAAGCACAGTAACATCCTATATAGTAGGTGCATCTACATGTGCAATTAATGTGACATGATAAAGTCTAGGGCAGTTTGTGCTGGAGTGACCTGCTCCTGGGCACAGCATCTACATGTGCACCTGGGGCAGCAACACTTTGAGCCAGGGCAGAGCAGGCCTTGGCTAGCAGCAGCCTTGAGGGGTCAGTACCAGGTTTCCAGTGGCAGTATCACGTGGCGAAGGGCTGGCTTGGGCATGAGAGTCACTGTGTGCCTAGGCAGCTGACTGGGTGCAATTCCCGCCTTTGGTCACTCTCTACAAGTGCATTTCAGCATAGTACATACTCTGCTGTAAGATAGTACTGTCCCCAGCAGTACTATCCAATGGCAAAGTTAATTAGTTTACTGAACCCTAATACCAGCATATGTGTAGGGGGTGATGTTTTATTGTGGAGCTAATTAACCAACTCTCAGGAAAGTGCACACCTAGATGTACCCAGGGAGCCTTAAGTTTGACACACCAGGAAGAATGGCATGGCTGCCATATCATTTGCAACTTAAAAAAAAAATAAAGTTGTTTCAACATTCTCCAATGACAGCGTGGTCTCAAAAGATGCCATCCGTACTAAACAGTGTGTCCTGGGATAACTACACAGGAGTTATTACTAGTTAACCACTTTAAAAGATGTGCACATATCAGTTGTTACTACCTGTTATATCTCATGAATCTGTACTGATACAAAGGTAGCTAAACTGCCCTAACTTTGACCCTGAATGAAGCAAGATTGAAGTTGGATAGGTTTTGTTATGTTTGTATCACTACAAGATCATGAAGATGTAGCAGTTATATTGTAACAGCTTATACTGATAACATGTGGTTACAACTTTTCCATCGATTTATACCCATAGAGGGGAATGATTTTTTACTAACATAGCTATCCTGATGCAAAATCCTGGAATGACGTCTGTTACATCAGAATAAGGGTATCTTTTACTAGTGTATCTTACTTTACTTCCCAAACCAGGATACGCTAAGCCCATTACTTAACTAGGGGAATAATGGCCTATTAACAGGAAATGTTACTTACATAGATAGTATGGCCTGGTGAGCCAGGAATACTGGAACCTGGTCTGGAATAAATACTTTCAGAGGATGTTCTTGTTGGCTGAAAAACAAATATTCACTTGTAAGAGTCCAGCTGTGGCCACAGCCCTGATAATCTAGATTATTAAGACACAGAAGGCTTGCATTCATCCCTGAATGGATTCAAATTGAAAAACTTAAACATATGTTTAAACGTAAATGCAACAAACTCAAGCGTTCTAGCAAATTTCCATCTTATGATGCAGCTATGATTTCTCTTTTAGGAAGGGTTGTGGGAGGGAAAGAGAGCGTTTAAAGGTACACTGTGAAAAGCAGAACTGACAGTGATGAACAAAAAACAATACCCCCTGAGGCACTGCAGTAGCCAGCTACACAGCAATCCAGGTTGATATAGTACACTAATCTCTTGTGGTTACACTGAATGGGAAATCAGGCGAAGTCCAACCCTACGGCATACACGCAGACTGTAGAGCAGTCATAGCCACCGGGGTGGGCATGGTTGTGTATCCATGTGATGTGCCATGACGGGGGCGCCTTAGTCACTGCACTTACACCCATGTAAATGACTTGCAAGTAGAGGGACCATAGACTTTCTTACTTGGAATAGCTCCAATAGTTTGCGTAACAGAGTTTTGCTGTTGTAGTTGCAGGTAATAGTCAGGCCCTTCTTGCTCCAGTGACTCTAATGTGTAAGCAACACTTCCTTGCAACTTGAAACCCGTGTGGTCACTTACATGCATGTGCTCAATGCAATTCATTGACACATAGGTGTTTGGGTCAGAAGGGACCTTAGCAGATCGTTGAGTCTAACCCCCTGCCCTGGGCAGGAAAGAGCATTGGGGTTAGATGACTCCAGCCAGGTATATGGCTAGTCTCCTCTTAAAGCCCCCCAAGGTAGGGGAGAGCACCACTTCCCTTGGGAGCCCGTTCCAGATTCTGGCAACCCTCACTGTAAAGAAGTTCTTCCTGATGTCTAACCTAAATCTGCTCTCCGTCAGTTTGTTTCTAGTTATCCCAAAGGGTGCCCTGGTAAACAGAGAATCTCCTATTCCTTGCTGTCCTGACACCCTGATGAATTTGTACATGGCCACAAGATTCCCTCAGCTTTCTCTTGCGGAGGCTGAAGAGATCCAGGGCCCTCAATCTCTCCTCATGGGGCTTTGCCTGCAGGCCCCTAACCATAGGAGTAACCCCACTCTCAACCCTCTCGAGGTTGTCCACATCCCTCTTGAAGTGCAGTGCCCAAAACTGGATGCAGTACTCCAGCTGCGGCCTGACCAAGGCCGCAGGGGGGAAGCATCACCTCCCTGGACCTGTCTGTCATGCACCTGCTATGCATGATAAAGTGCGGTTGGCTTTACTGATCACTTCATCACACTGACGACTTGTGTTCACCTTGGTGTCAACAGTGACTCCAAGATCCCTTTCTGCTGCCGTGCTGCTGAGAAGGTCCTCCCCCAGCCTGTAAGCGTGCTGGTGATTCCTTCTCCCTAGATGCAACATCTTGCACTTGTCCTTATTGAACTCCATCCTATTCTGCTCCACCCACTTTTCCAACCTGTCCAGATCTGCCTAGATTCATTCCCTACTTTCTGGTGTATTAACTTTACCCTATAATTTGGTATCATCTGTGAATTTGGACAGAGTGCTTTCCACGCCCTCATCCAAGTCACTGATGAAGACGCTGAACAGCATCGGTCCAAGGACCGAGCCCTGTGGGACTCTGCTGCCCACATCTTTCCAGGTCAATACCGACCCATCCACCACCACTCTCTGAGTGCGACCCCTAAGCTAATTTGCCACCCACCTGACTGCGTAATCGTCTATGTCACAGTCACTCAGTTTATCTATGAAAATATGAGATACCATATTGAAGGCCTTCTTAAAATCCAAGTAGATGACACCTACTTCAATTCCTGTGTCTAAGCATTTTGTGACCAACTGCAAATTGGGTGCCAGTTTTTGGCACTTCATCAACATCCAACTGACATGACTCTGTGCAGGCAATTTTGTATGGAGAGAAATTAATTCAGTGTCATTAGGACTGTGCGGTGGGATTCCAAAACTTCATGAATCAGAAAAAACACTTTTTCCAACCCAAAATCTTCCTGATCTCCAAGACCTGTTAATCACTCCTAAGTGTAATATGCAGCATACACAGACTAGACTGTCCTGACCTAAAGATTAATATGCAATGAGCCTTATCCAAAGCAATGGAAAGACTCACTTTGAAGGGCTGTAGACCAGGGTCAAGATTTCACTTGGAAGAAATCAAAGATCATATTGCCTTCTCCTTGCACCAACTTTCTCCTCTTGAACCAGATGCAAGGAAGCTCTCCACAGCACGAAGCTGCTAGCCAGTTGGCGATTCCCACAGTTTGAGTGCAATGGGGTATTCAAAGCTAATGCCATGAAACGAACTCTCAGTTACTTGTTTCTGCCTCTTGCTGGCTTCTGGCACAGACTGGAGGCAGCAGAGATTGCACGCTGCAGGGAAATGAGCAACATCTGACAGTCCAGCTTGGAGAACTCGCTCAGGAAATGTCTGCGAAGAACAGAGCGGGGCAAGCAGGGCTTTCTTATCTTGCAGCAGATATTTCCTGAAAGGGGCCTTTCAGCTGAGTGGCAGTCCTTCTCCTGTGGTCCTTCTCACTTTAATTTTCCAGACAGCAAGCAACATTTAAAAAAAAAAGCTGGCTGACAAGAGCATTCTGAGGTCATGCTCCTTCACATCTGCCTCAAGATGCGTTTTGGGAAGTCCATAAAGGAAACAAACACGCTTAGGGGAGGGCAGAGGCATCAAGGACTTTGAATGTAGACCAAGAAAAGAGAGGTCTCCGATCAAATGCAGCAGGTGACCATGGAAAACAGATGAGGATGCTGAGGGCTAAGCTATAGCCCCACCTTTCTCCATAGTGAGTCTGATCACATTTTCACAACCGGGCCAGAATACTGCTCCATACCTATTTCTGGAGCCATAAAATCCCACACCCCGAATTGCAGATAAATTTGCTGAGATGCCCCAGCTTCCTCCCTTGCATGATGCAACCAGAGGAAAAAAACTGTCTGTGTTAGGGGAAAAATAAAAAGATCTAAGCTGGGGGAAATCTGTCGGCTAATGAGAAACATTCCCCTTCCCTCTCTGACATTTCACACTGCAGCCTCGTTGAGCAGAGTCGTATGTAGCAAGCTGCTGCAGTTGCCATGGCAAGTGATTGTTTTTCTTACAAAGCATAAGGAACAAGGTTCAGTGTTTGAGGTCCAATTTGGGGCATTTTGCTTGTTACTCACCTTCTAGTTTCTGCCAAATGTTGCTGTTACTTTTTGTTTATTTTTTTCTAATAAGTACAAACAGATTGTGCTGGTTCAGAGTAGCTGCAATCTCTCTGCCCTTGTCCCACCCTTGGACTGGAACTTGTGAACATTTGTACACCAAGGGAAAGGGTCTTTTTAATTATTACAGGAGATCAGAAATTGCTGTTCAACAGTTGCTTGGCCCAGACATGCTAGTATCTTGCAGTACTTTTTCTCTGCCTCATCTCCCAGTTTGTTCCCCAGAAATACCTTAGGCAATCAGATGATTTACCTACGGGTGCTTTCACAGTTAAGAAATCTGCTCACCTTGATTTCCAACTTCTGCCTGCTCCTTAAACACTTTTGTACAGTTTAGCTTTAAGTACAGGAGTAGCTGGGCTGGCATAAATGGAGGTCAGTTGGAGTAAAGTACTTGCAGAAGCATTTCCACAATTAGGAATCACCTCCCATTTCCTCAGTTCCCCCTTTCTTCTGCTCTCAGACCTAAACAAGCATCTGCAAACTTGCTTAAAGTCGCTATTTGCTAGACCTGGCCTCCCTGACGCCCAGTCCTCTCTCCCCTGAGTCCACTGGTTTCAGCATCAGTCTGCAAAGACCCTTTCTTGTTATTAGCAACCTGGTATCGCCAGGGGACTTTGCTCTTAGAGTAGGATGTGATCCTGCTCAGCACTGTGTATGCACACTACAAAAAGGCAGCCTGCCCTGAGAAACTTCCTCTAAATGTTTCAGAAACTCTTTATTCAGCAGTTTGGGGCTCTCTTACTCCTTCCCATGCTGTGTCCTGCTACCTCCTGCTAAGACAGAATTTTTTTTGAGAGACCTTCTGCTCATTGTTCTAAGTACCTTCCACATCTCTGCTTACCTACCGTGGCCTTGCCTGCCCTTTATTTTTCCTGTTTAAAGTTACACAGGATGGATTTCAATTGCAGCTTCTCTTGCTGTTTCCTAAACATTTCCGACGATGCTATGCAGGAATTCTTCAGGGCTTTGCACCTTCCCCTAAAGGCAGCTGCTTTACAGTCAAAAACATTTGTTTTTGTGTGCTGCTTGCTTATCAGACCTACATTAAAGATATTGTGATTACTGCAGCCTCGCAGTTCCCCGACCTAACCTTACTTGCTATAGTTGGCTCATTTCCCAAGAGGTCTAGAAGAGACCTGTTAACCTGTGAATGATACTGCAGCCCTCAAGGGACACGCTCCTTTTACTAAACAGCACGGTGCATTATCAGAGTCCCAAGCTCCTCTCTCTGTCCATGATCACCTTTGTATCACAAACACTTTAAGCCAAATTCTCCATCCATGTCAAAATAGCAATCAAGTGTAAGCAGCAAGTTATACAGCAAGTAAATGAAATTGGAAAAGCAGAGCAAGTATCACTGACTTAGCTTTGGATGTGCAACCATACACTCTTTTTTTTGCCTATTTTAATGAAAGTCAACATTATCCTCCTTCTGTTGGTTGCTTTTCCTATTCCAATCACAGCACATGGGTTCCATGTGTTCTGAACCCCCATTGATGGTCAGAGAGATGGGCCCCTGGTACATGCTCATTTTTGTGCCTCCTGCCATGATATATGTGTATGGTAGGATATGCAATTTTGGGATCAGATCCCAACTGCACCATTATTACTACTTGCCAGTGATCCCAGACTCCCTCTGTATTGGCAAGCTGGAAGCCAAGTGCCTGCAACCTGGCATAAACCAATGTGGTCTTGGGGTCAAGACTGACAATCAGCTGAGTATCA